TTAGGGCTGTTGTGCATAGGGTTGCTATGAGTCGCAAATGACTCGATGGCACATAACAACAACAACATGGTTAAAGTGCCTATGGCTCCATGCTGTCACTCTTTAAGTATATAGACTTAACCGAAACATTACGGGTCTTTTCTAAAGACAGAATCTTTATTTTAACCAATTCCAGTCACAGTAAATCCAAAGACTTCAATGAGTAATATTATCCACCAAGTTACTGGACCCTCCCCTTCCCTCTTCCACACTAGCCTGTCTCCTTGCTTATCATAGGATTTGCCTGCCCCAAGCCCTTAGCTCTCATTGTTCAATCCTCCTGAATGTACTTCCTCCAGATGTTCACTTGGCTAAAACTCTTCTCAGATCTCAAAGCTCTGCTCAAATCTAATCTTTTCAATGCTACTTTAAGCTCTCCATTTTATTTTACAATCTGCTTACTCTACACTGCTTGGACAATGAATAAGGATGACACAAGAATCAATGCCTTTCAATTGTGATGTTACAAGTACTGAGTATCCTGAATTACATAGGTGTGCTTTTTTTGCCACAAAAAAGGAGCTCTAACAGCAGAGTGGGTAAGAAGTCGAACCCACTAGCTGCTTCAAGGGAGAAAGATGAGCAATCTCTTCCCATGATTTACAGCCTCTGACACCACCTTCTGGAAGGTCACCCATGAGTACACAACAATTTATGATATTTCTTCCTGTTAAATCATCATTAAAGTGCAACAATCAAAACAGTTCAATGTTGTGATCTTAGTAACTTGGGACTTCCTCTTCCTTTTTTTGAAGAGGGAGGAGAATTACCAATCCTCAACCTCCCAAGAGACCAATGTCTCTGTAATAAGCAGAATGAGCCAGAATCTGTGAATATATTAATCATATCTCAAAGAGGAATTAGACTGGTGGAATTAAAGTTATTAATTAGTTGATCTTAAAATAGGAACATTGTTTTGGATTATCTGGAGCCAAATGAATGCATACAAATTCTTACATGTGGGAAAAGGAGCTAGAATAGAGAACAAGAATTCTATAAGCTGGATTGTTTTAAAGATGAAAGAATACTATGAGAAAAGAATGAAGGCAACTTCAAGAAGCTGTAAAAAAATTGCCCTACAGCCTGCAGGTGGGGCACAGCTCTGCTAATACTGGATTTTAGTCCAGCAAGATAAACTTTTAGCCTCTGACTTACAGAATCATATAATAACAAAGTTACTGTAATTTGTAATTGTTATGTGCCTTGAGTCAGAATCAACCCACAGGTGGCCCACCAATAGGTTTTCAGAGGCAATAAATTCTTCAGGAGATTTCTATTACTAAGCAGCTAATGGATTCAAACTACATGCTCTTGGGGTGGCAGTCCAACTACAGCCCTCTTTAACTTCTCTCATTGAATGTTAAGTAAAAATTGCGGAATTCTTCCTGAATGCTATTGCAAAACATTTGGTGACCCAAGAGGGACCCTCTTCATACAAAAGGGAATAAGCTCACAAAAGGAGGGATATTTGTTCAAAGATTTCTAAAATTACTTTGAACAGTGACTTGTGCTCAGTAGGGAATATATGAATCTGTTACTATTTTACACATATAAAAGTGACTTAAAACAGTGTAAAGACTAAATGTAAAAGTCAAAACTATGAATTTCCCAAAAGATATTTCCAGTACCTTAATGTTACAATTAACTAGTAACTGGTATAATAATCAACAGATCAAATTAATAAGAACTGTCCCTCAAACACATTTGGTTTTGGTTTTTTTTCCAAACACTTTTTAAGTTTTTAAAAAGTTGGCAATGTACATAAGCAATTTCTATAAAAGGCTTTAGGATAAGAAATGCTCAAATTTAACTTATTCAAAGATGCAACTGTACACTATATACGTATATGCTGTTTTTGTGTACTGTCAAGTCTGAACCAATGTATAGCGGACAGCGGCTTTTCAGAGGCAATACACTGCGTGGTAGAACGCCTATCTTTCTCCCAAAGAGCAACTGGTATATTCAGCACCACAAGCAATTCCACAAGAGTTGGAAGCACAACTCCTTACCATTAAGCCACTAGAACTCCAGAGAGATTTATCGTGCAACAAATTTAAATCTGAATTTAAACTATTTCACACGGAAATGTAAAAATTCACTGCTTCTACAGATGAGTAAAGATAGCTCTATTCTGTCCTATCTATTTTGGAGATAAACTTAGGCACACTTCATGTTGTTATGTGCCAGTCGAGTTGCCTGCGACTCATAGAGACCCTATGTACAACAGCCCTAAACCCTGCTCTATCCCTTGTCAATCCTATTGTCTTCTACAGGCCTATCCCCATTACCGCAGTGACTCAATCAATCCATCTCATTGAGGGTTTTCCTCTCTTGAGCTGTTCCTCCACCCTCCCAAGCACTCTCTCCAAGGGCTGATCCTGCCTTGCTACATGTCCAAAGTATGTCAGACATAGCTTCAGAATCCTTGCCCCCAAGGAGCAGCCTCAGAATCCTTGCCCCCAAGGAGCAGCCTGGTTTCACCCTCTCCATGACCAACTTGTTTGTTCTCCTAACAGTCCAGGATATATTCAATACTCTTCTTTAGCACCAAAGCTCAAAGGTATCAACTCTCCTTCTAATCGCTAGTCACTGTCCAGCTCTCTGATGCATACTTACTCAACTCAGATATACTACTTACAATCCAGAAATCTTGCCACTACATAAGCATCCCAGAGAGACTCTCATATGATCTTTAATACGTTGTGTAAGTAGCTTTGGTTGTGAGTTCTGGGAGCTAGAGACAATCCATCCTTTAAAAAAGTACGTATAGAAACAAGTATGGAGAAAAGCATGCACTGGGAATTCTAGTAACAGCTAAAAATGAAAAAAAAAAAATAACATATATACACACACACACACACAAAAATTCATTAAAAAGCCCCACCGGTTTTGTACAGAAAGCAGAGAGAAAAAGAACATAGCCTACAGCAGAGATGTGTTTAAAAAAAAAAAAACAAAAACCACTCATGTATTATGTTTAAGAACCTGAAAGAAAACCCACTTCTAACTATGATCAAGGTTTAAAAAAATAACTTAAAAAACCCAGGTTTTCTGGGAACTCTGGAAAAATAGAAAAGCATATGGAGAAGTAACCACAGGCTGAGAAATGATCCTGTCGCTTATTATTATCAAAGATTCTCTTTCTAAAAACATTTAAACAGGCAGATACTAGAAATAAAATTTATTCTATAATTTCAAAAAAAAGTCCCTAAAGGTGTCAAATAAAAGAAATAAGCCTTTACATTTTGGAGACACTGATGTCTATTTACAAACTCTGAATTGACTGCTCTGTTCTCTAAATTAAGCCTAAAAAAAGAACAGACTTGAGAGTTGGGAAACTGTCCAAATCTTTGTCCGTCTTAACTATTTTTCTGACCCCAGGACACTACATCAGAAAACAGAGATGGCTCTGCAGCGCAGGCAGGTACCACAGGGCTGGTGGAGTCAAATCTCGGGATTGCAGCATAGATTCTTAACACCAGGCCACCAAAGATACACAACAACCAGAAAAGTTGGGTTACCCATGCCTGCTCCTTGTCTCACTTCCTAGTTTATAAATTCCTTCAAATGGCATTGTAGACATTGAATTTCCCTCAGCTGCTCTAATGGAGAAAAATGAGTAATCAAATAGCGCGTGATTGAAGGGGGAGGAAAAAACGAAGGGTCGGCTTTGAGTTGGCTCCAACTTTATTCAATCAGCCAGTTTCAGAAATTGAGTTTAGAGTGAAGGTGAATCTGAGTCGAGCTGGCTGAGTGGTTTCACACATTCCTACAGACGCCGAGATAACGGCGAAAAGGGGGCAAGGAAGGAGTGGCGGCGAAATGTGACAGCTACAGACAGCAGCACAGCGGGGCGACTTGGGGCGCGAGGCCTCCCCGGGTCCAGCGCCGTGCGCCCCTCCCCTCTGCTCCTCGCGCAGCCGCTCCCGCCCCTCCCCACCCGGCTCCCTCAAGTCTCACGAACGGAAATGGGAGTCACAGCGCCGGGGACCAGCGGAAACAAAACACAGAAGCGGGTGCGGGGGGGCTTCGGTGGGGGAGAAGGCCCCGGAACGAAGCCGGTCCGCGCGGGCCCGCGTTCCCTCCTTCCCCCGCAGCCGTACTCACCCGCTCTGGAATCGGCCCTGTGGTCCCTGCCTGCGCTCCAGAGCTGGTTGAGAACGGCAGCGGCCCCGACTCCACGTGCAGTGTCTCTCTGGGTAAGACCTGCAGCTCCCACGACTTGAGTCTGAGAACCCCGGGCCTTTCCCGCGGAATCGGCGCTAAGAAACCTCAACCCCCCCCTCCAGCCTCCCAGGCACCCCTGGGTCCAGGACTACAACTCCCAGTAGGTTTCGCGAAAGGAACGCCCGAGGCAGCGGAGGCTTACGAGGCACATGGAAACATAACGCCCCAATCTGTACTGTTTTGCACTCTTTTGTTTCCCCTGTATAGCTCAACAACTACTGAGAAACAGAAGACTCACTCCCAGTGGGGGCTGAACTGGGGGGAAGACCAGGCAAAGTGCGCATGCGTACAGAACAAGGTTTCCAAAAGGAAAAAAAGAGCGGGTCAAATTAAGCGAAGGAAAGATGGCGGAGAGTTGGCTAGGGGACCCGGAAGCACTTACCCTTCACTTCCTCCTCCTGCTTGGATTCTGTCTCACCTAGAGCTGTCCGGTCACAGACTGTCTTCGAGACGCTTCCTGTCCGGTGAGCGTCAACCGATCTGTGGCGGCGACCCACAGTGCTTTGCGATGGCGAGGAGGTGGGGAGGGGCGGAGTTAGGGCCGGAAGTAGAACGGCGGCTGTGGTGGTGGCTTTCTGGCAGCGGCTTTCTGGCAGCTCAGGACTGAAGCGCAAGGTGACTGGGAGGGTATTTGAACCAGCTTAGCCTCTTGGGACTTAGATTTCTGGGTTTCTTCGTGTAGTCTAGGTTGATTCTCACCTTTACCCTACAATAGGAGGAGAGAGCAGCTCTCTGTGCCACTTTCGCGACCTGGTACGAGGTCACGTTGACCTCAGCGCTTTAGGCCTTGAAGTCTAGGTTACTCAATAAATAATCCCACTAATTCCTGCTTTGAGAGCAAACGAGGATTTAGGGAAGTGGCCGGGTTATAAACCTACAGCCTGATTGCGCCATTAATAGGCACGCAGTGCATGCCTGAGGCCAGATCAACTGGATCAGGATCTTGGAGGTGGGGGTGGAGGCGGACTCCTGAAAGAACAAACACTACAGAAAAAGCCCATCATTGATAGTAAATTTAGAAGTTTGCATCCCAGCTAAAAGTGGTGATTGTTCTAGAACTTTACTAGGCGGTTTTAGGGTTGACCGGAGTATATACTGAGGAAGCTAACCTTTGAAAGGCTGAATGAACTAACCTTTGATTTAACTGTAAATGGCGGAAGGATGCTCTGTCACCAGAAGATCTCTACGTGCCATACCTTTTTTTTTTTTTTTTTAAATAATCCTTATTCCTTTCATTTCAAATAAGGAGGCTATACCTCCATTGAAAAGGAACAAATTTTGCTTTTAAGAAAAATGTGTTCATTTTTTGGACAAGTTGAATTTGTGGCACCAGCAATAAGGGAGGCAAGAACTATTGAATTTATAGGATTAGAAATTAGGGAGGGTCTGGACCAATTGGACGCATCAGGATGAATGGCGAAGAGATTGAGATTGTTCACAGCTTCAGTTTGCTCGACTCCACTGTCAACACTCTTGGCACCAGCAGCCAGGAAATAAAAAACCGTATTGCGATGGGAAAGTCTGCTGTTAGGGACCTCTCTAAAGCACTCAAGAGCAACGGTGTCTCTCTGGAGACTAAGGTCTGCCCGATACAGGCCATGGTTTTTGCAGTCACTTCTTATGCATCAGAGAGTTAGTTGGACAATGACTAGGGAGGATAGAAGGAGAATTGACGCCTTTGAGCTGTGGTGCTGGAGAAGAGTATTGAATGTACCATGGACTGCCAAGAAAACAAACAGATTCATCCTAGAGAGGGTTAAACCAGGCTACTCCCTGGAGGCAAGGATTCTGGGGCTTCGTCTGACATACTTTGGACATGTTGTAAGGAGAGACAGGTCCTTGAAGAGGGACATCATGCTTGGGAGGGTGGAGGGACAGCTCAGGAGGGGAAGACCCTCTATGAGGTGGATTGATTCAGTGACTGGGGTAATCGGGATGGTTGTGTCAGAGGCAGTGCGATTGGCACAGGATAGAGCAGGGTTTAGGGCTGTTGTACATAGGGTCGCTAGGAATGGCAAGGACTCGAGGCACATAACAACAACATCAGAATTGGAAATAGGATTTGGAAATTATTAGTGCTTTGTTGTTAATTGTTGTTAAGTGCCCTAAGGGAGTCAATTTCAACTGATAAACTCAGCTCATTGCCTTAGAATGAGAACTGACACATAGTTGACTTTGCATTGGATATCCAATACTGTAAATAGAACGGGAGGAGGATTGGCCTTTGCTTTAGCAGCACGACTCCTTACTAAATATGCTACCAAAAGTAAGCAAAACAAAGAATATTGACATCACATGTAGTAGCCATTAGTACTGTTAGAGCAGATTAACTGTGGGAATATAAACAGTTTGACAACCTTTTTCAGATATTGTTTTGTTTTGGGGTTGTTTTTTTTATTTTTTTATTTTGTTTTCAGGTATAGTTTTACTATAAATTAAGATACAGAACATTTTCCGTTCCTCTTAATATGCCTGTAAGCTTACAAGAAGAAAAACACTTACAGAGATACTTTGCAAAGTAAGAGTTGCAGATGCTGAGTGGTAAACTTAAGTTGTCAAAAAGGAAAATATACATTGAGTTGTACATTTTTTTCATCCTTCTATAAGTCTGATTCTGGGTCAGATAGTTTTCTAAACCTCAGGTTTTGTATGCATATTAGAAGAAACACCTTATAGAGTTTTTTTTTTATGCTTGGATATTTTTTTCCCCCCTCAAGAATTTTCCTCTTACAATGTAAGAGCAATTTTATTCTTTCCATTTCTTCAAGTATTTGGATTTCACTCAGGTGAAGGATAGCTTGTTGACTAGAGGATTTTTTATGGTAGTTTTTATATGTTGTTGTATGGGTTGTGCAACAACCCATTTGCACTGTTGACTCTTTGAACTGGATAGTTGGGGGCTGACTTATTTACTAGGCTCACTGGCCTCTATCTAGTAGGTACCAGTTTCCTTTTGGTGATTGAAGAAATCAGAGAAACACAGAGCATTAACTTGGGCGAAGGGGAAGAGCATTGTTATTTTTCTCTAGTGTTCTTACTATGTGCCATCAAGTCACCAGTGACTCGTAGGGACCCTGCTTACAACAACAGCTCTGAACTCTGCTCTATCCTGAGCTTCCTTACCATCTCTTGACTTATCTACCCCATTACTCAAGTCACTGAATCAATCCATCTCATCAAGGGTCTTTCCCCTCCTACTCTGTCCCTCCACCCTCCCAAGCATAATGTCCCTCTCCAAGGACTGGTCCATCCTTATAACATGCCTAGAGTATGTCAGGGAGCTTCAGACTCCTTACCTCCAAAGAACAAAGAGGGTTTCACCCTCTCCTGGACAAACCTTATGTTGGGTAGTTTTCTAAAAACTTTAACATTTCACTAGCATTGAGTCTGTTCTCCTTTATAATAACCGTCCATCAAATTTCTGAGGCTGTATCTTCCTTCTTTTTCTCACAGTGCCTTTGTTAAATTAGAACCACAAGAAACAGGTGGCCGTTTGCTTCACAGTACGATCAGAGGGCCTTCTCACAGCCTCAAGCTCACTGCTATCAAGTCAGAATTGTCTGATAGCTGACCCTCCATTGGATTTATGAGGCTGTAAATCAGACAGGAGGTTGCTCATCTTTCTCTCACAGTGCAGCTAGTGAATTCCAGAGAGGCTCATCCTTGGGCTAGCAGCACAGGCCACAAAAATTCCACCTCTAACAGTTCTACTAAGAACCTGCACTGTTGTCTCAAAGGCATGCAATTCAAATCCTCCAACTGCTCCACAGAAGGATGGGCAATATCCTCTCATTTGATTTAGTGCTTCCGAAAACCTGATGGAGGAACAGCTATGAGTTGGTTCGAACTCTGCGTTCATGGGAGAAGAAACACACCATACTAGACTGGTGCTTACATTTACTCTGGTAGAAACATTCCTGAGTTACTGCCTTGCTCCTAAGTTCCCATAATTTTAAGAAGGGGGGAAAACAACCCAACAATGTAATAGGAAGAAGGGAAAGGATTGATGGCCAGTATTTTCTTTTTCTAGATTGAGTTTTAATATGATTTAGATCTATAACAATTAGAATTGAAAATCACATTAAATATTTATTTAGCTTGTTTTGTGCCATCGAGTTGTATGCAACTCACAGCAACCCTATGTACAAGAGCCCTAAATGTCATTCTATCCTATGCCAACCTCGCTGTCTCAAACACATTCATTCCCACCACTCCAATCACAGAATCGATCCATCTCATGGAGGGTCTTCCTCTCCTGCGCTGTCCCTCCACTCTCCCAAACATGATGTCCCTCTCCAAGGAACAGTCCCTCCTTGCAACATGCCCAAAGTATGTCAGACGAAGCTTCAGAATCCTT